CAGTACTCCACTCACGGCGTCTTGAGATACGGATAAGTAAAGGCTAAGCACCTCCCCCGCCGTCGGGACAGATAAAGTTGGAGGATGTTTCAAGTACTCTTTGATCCCCTCAAGAGCTCGACCACATTCCTCGTCCCATACCCCCTTAGCCGCTCCCCTCAACTTGGCAAAAAATTGTTTGCACTTATCGGACGACTTGAAAATAAATCGGTTAATAGCTGTCAATATCCCAGTCAATTTTTGAATATCCTTAATGGTCCTAGGCACCCAGACATTCTGGATTGCTTGTGTCTGCTGGGGGTTCACCTCGATACCCCGATGAGTAACCAAATACCTCAAAAACTTTCCTGAGCTCACTCCAAAAGCCCATTTTGAGGCGTTTAGTTTTAGGTTATACTTCCGAAGGATGATGAATGTTGTCCCGAGATCATAGAGATGGTCAATACTCTCTTTGCTTTTTACCAACATGTCATCAATGTACACCTCCACGTTTCGCCGAGTTGGTCTTTGAAAATTTTATTCATGAAACGTTGGTAAGTCGCCCCAGCATTCTTCAACTCAAAAGGCATCACTGCGTAACAATAGATCCCCCGGGGCGTAATGAACGTCGTTTTCTCCTGATCTGATTCATGTAAGGGAATCTAGTGATATCCAGCCCGAGCATCCATAAAAGTGATTCGCTTGTGGCCGGCTGTGGTGTCTACCAACTGATCAACCTTGGGCAAGGGGTACTCGTCCTTGTGGCAGACTTTGTTCAGGTCCGTGAAATCCACGTAAACTCGTCATTTCTCTTCTTTCTTCTTGGCGCACACGATATTGGATAACCACTGGGGGAACTGTACCTCCTTGATAGAACCTGCCCCCAACAACTTATCCACATCTTCATCCACAACCTTCGCGTGATGAGGTGTTGTACTTCAGGCCTTCTGCCTAACGGGTTTGAATGAGGGATTCACATGGAGCCAATAAGTCATCACCTCGGCACTTATCCCCGTCATTTCGACCTGGGTCCATGCAAAGACATCGGCATTGCGGCGTAGGAATGAGGTCATATCATTTCTTTCTGTGTCGCTAAGTGACTCTTCTATCAAAAAGTACGTCTCATCCTTATGTAGGCTCAAGAGAATCTTAACCAAGGCCTCAGTAAATCGGTCGACTGGTTTTGTAATGGGCTCATCCACTCTCGGCCGACCGCTTTGTGATGTCTATTTGGCAACCACCGCATCGGGATCACATTCCTGACTTCGGTTGCTAACTCCAGTTTTCATCGCGGCATAGAAACAACTTTTCGCTGATGCCTAATTACCCCGAATTTCAATTATGCCCTGCGGTGTTGAAAATTTTATCTTCTGGTGATAGGATGAGTGGACTGCCTTTATCGCATGCAACCACGATCTCCTTATAATAGCGTTGTACGGGGAGTTGGAGTCCACTACCACAAACTCCACTAGCGTGGTCACCACCCCTGCACGTACCATGAGGGTAATTTTTCCAAGAGGCAGGGTGCTAGAACCATTGAAGCCGATGAGGGGAGTCTTTACGGGTTCTAGATCCCCCTGCGAAAATCTCATTTTACGGAAGAGGTGATCATACATCACCTCGGAAGAACTGCCTGAGTCTACCAAGATCCTTTTGACGTTGAACTTCTTGACCCGTAAAGTGATCACCAATGCATCCTCGTGAGGAAGGACCACCCCGCCAAGGTCAGCATCGAAAAATTGGATAACCTCGACACCGCTTCGCGGCTTCTTGGGCGGCCGCTCCTCACCCCTTTCTTCCACCCTGACTGCTTGAGAGGCCTTCTGTAACTCGACACGAAAGGAGTTATACGTAGGCCTCTCCATTGTGCAAGCATGAATAACATCAATCACGGGCGCCACCTCAGCTGACACCTCAGCTCGCTCCCTCACCGATCTTCTGGGAGGACCCCTATCGATGAACTCCCCGAGGTGTCTGTCTTGCACCAATTGTTCGAGCAAGGATTTATAAACCTTGCAATCCTCTGTCAAATGACCTACATCTTTATGATACGAACAATGGAAGGTTGCATTCCTTGTCGACGGGTCTCGTATCATCCTCGTGGGCCATCTGAAGTAGGGTTTGTTTTTAATCTTGAGGAGTATCCTGTAAATGGGCTCTTTGAAGACTATGTTCACCCCCTAGAAGGACAGACGAGTAGGGGGTGGAACAGGCCCTCCCCTTCGGGTCAGCTGCTCCCTTTCTCTTTTTCTCGACACCAGGACCCCGCTCTCGGGCTCATTGGATTCTTCCTCCACTCGGGCATATTTGTTAATCTGAGCCATCAAGTATTTCATGTCCGCCGGAGCCTTCTTTGTCAACGATTTGTACAAATCAGTGTCCCGGAACAGCCCCAGCCTGAACGACGCCATGACCAATACCTCTGAACATGCCTCCACCTCATTGACCTCATCCCAATACCGAATGACATATTGTCGAAGTGTCTCTCCATTTTTCCACCTAAGAGTCAACAGAGCGCTGATGTCCTTCGATTTCTTACTGCTGGTGATAAATCGAGCTATGAAGAGCTCCATCAATTGTTTCTAGGACCTGACGCTTTCAGGAGTCAGGTTCTCATACCATCCCATGCCTATGTCCTCTAGGCTCATGGGAAAAACTCGGCACAACACCCTTTGATCAGTATCATAGATTGACATCAATTGTTTGTATTGCCGCAAGTGACTCTCGGGATCGGTCTTCCCATCGTAGATTTTGACCGTGGGACAGTAAACTTCTTCGGCATTTCGGCCTCCCTGATAGTTCGAATGAACGGTGACATTACTTCTTCGACATAGACCTTGGGCTCAGGGTTGCGATAAGCGGCGGGGTGGACCCTAGGATCCCCTTTTGGCCTTTCTTCTCGAGGCCTCTTGGGTGTAGACTCCTTGTGTGATTCAGCGGCTCCGATGTTCTCAGGTATTCCTCGGCGGAGGTCCCACCGAGACAGACTCGCCTTTTGGCCCGATTCTGAATTCCCCTTGGAGGCTGAGAACCCACCTTGGCGGTTACATCCCTCGGGTGAGCGTCTAAGCTAGCCTTTCCTAGAAGGTCTATGCTAGGGAGGCCTGGAAAGGTTTTGGCTGGGGACCTGGTCCCTGAGCCCGCGACAATGCCCGCCTGCCCGCGCTTGTTGACTGCTCAAAATCTTCGAGCCGCCGCTGGACCTTGGCGTTTTCCTTCTCAAGCTGCTTAATGCGTTTGCCCATTCACTTTTTCACCATTTCAACGATATCACAGGCCATGAGGTCATGCCCCCCAAGGCCCTGATCCATAGGGAGTGTTCGTTGCGAGGAATGCTCCCCTCCACCTGATTAGCCCAACGAACCCGATTCCAGAATCATTGGAAGTCGGACAGGCTCTGCGTTCCTTACATGCACACTTGCTCCTTCACCCTAAGATCGAGTGTTCACCATCAGATGATTGCTACCAGGAAAGATGCTCTCGTTTCCCACAGATGGTGCCAAATTACACAGGATAATTCCTGCAATAGTTTGAGACAGCGATCTCCAAGCTGGCGAACCTGAAACAATAGGGTGAGAAAAAGGGGGCCAGGTGAGCACCCGACTTACCCCATCTGAAGCTTAAGTCAGTCTAAGATCGAAGGGTTTAGCTCAATGGATAATCTTTTTCTGGTTCAAGTTTGCGTAACTTTGTCCATTTTTCTGAGGAGTATTTATACCTGGATTAACAATGACTGTCAAAGATCTCCAGTCTCATTTGGACATCTTACATTTGACACACCATTCCTCGTGCAATGAGTGTTTTCTACTCACGTCTCCTCCTATTAAATGCTAGGAAGATGAGATAAATGTTCGGTCAAATGTCGAGCATTTATGCCCCTCCCTCGAGTACCCAAATTCCCCAGATCGGTATCTGACATCAACTGAGCATTGAATACTCGGAGGAACAGTTCCTCGGGGGGAGCTGTTCACGTCATCTCGATGCATCAACCATTAATGTTTAGTTATCATGACAGTAGGCCTAAACTCCCAGAGTGCAGGTGCTTGCAGGCGCGCATTTATTTACCTTGTCACTATCACTCATTCCACCATAAATGAGGGGTCATATCGCATTAAATATGATGTCAGCTGTCGTACTCAACTACTCCGTGTCACCATACCTCAGCTTATCTCCTCGGCGCCTTTTGGATATTCCAACAACTTCATTATTCCACGTGTCAACCTGGGGCTGTAGAGCCATCCAGAGTCCCACCATTTGGTATTAGCTTTTGCGATAGTCTCACAGCATTGATTCAATTCTCTAAGGCTTGTCCAGGGGCCATCCAACTTTGTCTCAATTTTGATGGTAGTAAAAAGCCTAAGAATTAAATTGTGTTACTTCTAATTAAAAAAAAAAAAAACAGCCTAACAATTGAAGAATAACAAGTTCATCAGGGACGCAAATTTAATACCTGAAATATGTATATCAAATGGAGTTGTCTATGATATAGAAAAAAAAAATTGGTAGGATACAGATTTTTATCTCATTTGTGTGTGTTTGTGTGTTTTTAACATTGTTGTATATCGAAAAAAATAATAAAAATAATTATCACAACAATGATAAAAAAAACTTATAAATGCAATAAATTATTCATAAACGTGATAATTTTTTTATTTTTTTATCATTTATTACAACAGTGATAAAAACACCCAAAATAATAACAAATCACCCACAAAAGTTCTCACTTTTTTAACTAAAAAATGAGCTACAAAAATTATTCATTAAAGTACAAAAATTTGGAGATACGACACCAAATTTTTTTTTTAAGTCAAGTTCTTCTACAAGGCCTAATTTCAGTTGAAGTGGCAACTTCCATGGTCAACAAGTCATGTGATGTGTGCCACAACTTTTGTGTATAAAATGTTACCCACTAGGAATGAAAATGTCATGTGCATTTTAGTTCTTAGATCTATTAGTTAGAATGTAAGTTAATTTGTAAGTTGTTATTGCATTTTCCTATGCAATCATCTTGATCTCATTAAATTTCGATTCAACAAATGTTAAAGGGATTTTGCAAACCACTAAGACAAGTTATAAAATGAAGAGAAATTGGTCCTCAAAAATTCAAATTCTCAAAAGCAACAAAATGCTTTTCTCCATTATTATTTCTACATAGTAAAAACTTCATTTTATAGACAATGAACAACTTAACGGTCCAACGGGGACAGAAGTCACACAACCACATACCACTACTGCACTGCTCATATTGATCAAAAACATCGATCAGATAATATAATCAGACCACTGGGAAATAAACGAGGTATGATCCATGGACTCCCCAGGAACGTCCTCATGCACCGTAGGCTGCTCTTTCCCACCTACCAACCTCGCTGGATTTCCCACCGCCGTCGTCCACGGCGGCACCTCAATCAGCACCACCGTACCCGACCCGATCTTCGCCCCTTCTCCAATCCTCACATTTCCCAATATCGTCGCCCCAGCCCCTATCAAAACCCCATCCCCGATCTTGGGATGTCTATCTCCACCGGCCTTCCCTGTCCCACCAAGCGTCACGTGATGTAGTATAGACACATTGTTTCCCACCACTGCCGTCTCTCCGATCACCAGCCCCGTTGCGTGATCCAGCAACACCCCCTTACCTATCCTCGCCGCCGGGTGTATATCAACCGAAAACACATCGGAGACCCTCGAGTGTAGCGCAAACGCAATCGGCTTCCGGTTCTGAACCCATAATTTATGAGCTACCCGATGAGCCTGAATCAAGGAACAAATTGTAGATTGAAAATTTATGATAAGAACTGATATTGACTAAATCAATCAATCGCTACTTGGCGCAATTTGAAAATCTGAACAAAATCATCACCTGGAGAGCCAAGAAGCCCTTATAATTTAACAAGCATTGAGAGAACGACATGCAGGCTGGGTCACGGCAGCGGGCGGCACGGAGATCGGCGACGGTGGCGGAGCGGAGAGAGGGATCGGAGGAGAAGGTGTTGAGGAAGAGATCGTAGAGGAGTGTTGACAGTAGCGTGGAGGAGCAGAGTTTGTTGCCGAGGTGAAAGGAAATAGAGCGAGCAAGTGAGGAGTGAGATATGACAGTGGAGTAGAGGTAACTAGCGAGTGCTGGTTCGGACTCGGCGTCTCGGCGCGCTTCGGCTTTGATCTGTGCCCATACCCACGCTTCGTCCTGGTTTTCTCCGCCGTTATCGGCGGTCGCCGGAGATGATGCGTGGCTTTCTTGGACAGGCATTGGTGGCGATGTGAGAGATTTGCCAAATTCAGATGATTGTGGGAGATTAAGAAGGAAAGTTGGTGAGGTGATTTTACTTTATTACCCTTTTTTATTTATTTGAGACCCAGATTAGGCTTTGCTGCTGCATAGGGGGTAGGTTAGGTATATGAATATGAAATATATTTAAATTAAAAGTCAAATAAATAAAAAGTGAGAACTTGACCCAAACTGTGGGCTATCTCTATCTTGTCTCGAGTAAAAAGTCAAATAAATAAAAAGTGAGAATCTGGCCCAAAGTGGGGGCTATCTCTATCTGGTCTCCAACAATTTTTCATTTATTTTACAGTTTACATATTCATTCCGTTGTCACGCAATTATTTTCATCTACTGCTCCTGTAATGCCTATCTAATTTTATAGATTCTCAATTTATAAAATAAAAAATTGTTATAATTAATTTAATTTTTATTTATTTTAATTTAATGGTATAAATATATTTTAAAAATTTATTTTTCACTCAAAAATATCATATTTTTTATACGGCCTCAATATAAGATAACTCAATCAACATAGTTTCCGGTCTTAAGTAATCTTATCGGTCTAGGTCTAGGTTTCTTTTTTCTCTTTATTTTAATTTTAAATTATATAATTAAAAAAATTAAATTATTATTTAAAATATAAATAATATATAATTCATATTCAATTTTTAGTATTGTATAGAATTTTTAAATACAGGTTTATTGCTAGTACTTTAATAAGCAATGTGTGATCTTGATATCTAAATTTTAGTCTGCAAGCCACATTTTGCACTGTGCAACAAAAATTAATGTTTTTTTTTGTTACACTGGACCATCTAAGATTGAGATACACACAATTATTCACTAATTGTGTATATTGATTGATTTAGATATATTGAAATTCAAAATTCGTGAGATAACACGTCAATTTTTAATCACTGATTGATTTATGAGTTTGAGGAGTTTGTTTTTTTAAACGAATTTAAAAATTTGTTCAAATTAAATTCATTTAAAACACGAATCAAACTAGAACCGAGTTTAATCCGAATCAAACTCAAATTACTTATCTCGAATAACAACCCTATACTGAACCAAGCTTTGCCAGCTAAATAAATCATATCTTGTTTTGTCCTCCTCCAAAATTTATGTCCCCAGTACAGGACCACCAGCCGTGGCCCATGGTTTCGCAGACATAATGGCCCAGCTACATTAAATGACGTGGTTATGAAAAGTCCCCTGTGGGCCCAATGACATTAAAATAACAGATTGGTACCAAAACCACCCCATGACTAATGTTTACATAAATAATAAAATCATTTACATAAATAAGAAATACATGAATTACCATTAGACAAAATTTAACCATTTAACTAGTATTTAAGAATTAAATATAAAATAATTTTTATTTCTTGATATATAACGTTACATGAATTATTTCAAAATTAAGTGATTATTTATTAGTACAAATGTGACATCAAATTGAAATTTAAAAAAAAAATAAAAAAAATTGCATGTAACATGATACAACATTATAAAATATGACTCAATTGATAATGCTAACTAACAATGATATTACCAGGAGGCATGATATGTCAAAAGTGTCACCAAAATTGATAGACGTCAACTATTAAATGAAACATTATCGTTTAGTCAGTGACGTTTAATTATAGATATATTCTTGTGAATTATACACGTTAACGTATCAATTAAGTCAAGATAACGAAGGAACAGTAGCTGACAAATGGCAAACCACAAACATTTGCTTTGAGTTTTTTTTTGTTTTGCTTTCTAAAAGTTATTTTTTTAATACAAAAATAAAAATAAAATTTCCACACAAAATTGTTAGTGGCGGGACTCTAGGTAGCTGTACAACACCTGGTCTAACATATGGAATAATGAAGTCGTTGTGATGTTCAAAAGGCGTCGAAGAGGTAAGTCGAGGTATGGTGGCCCAGAAGAGCCGAGTACGACAGCTGACATCATATTTAATGCGATGCAACCCCTCATTTATGACGGAATGAGTGATGGTGACAAAGCTAATAAATGTGCGCCTGCGACCACCTGCACTCTAGGAGTCTAGGCCTTCTATCATGATGGCTAAGGCATTAATGACTGATATGCCGAGAAGATACGATCGGCTCTCCCCGTGAAATTGTTCTCCCGAGTATTTAATGTTTAGTTGCTGTCAGATGTCGATCTGAGGGATGTGGATACTCGGAGAAGGGCATAAACGCCGAGCACTTGTCCCATCATCCTGGCATTTAGTAGGAGGAGACGTGAGTGGAGNTTTTTTTGTTACACTGGACCATCTAAGATTGAGATACACACAATTATTCACTAATTGTGTATATTGATTGATTTAGATATATTGAAATTCAAAATTCGTGAGATAACACGTCAATTTTTAATCACTGATTGATTTATGAGTTTGAGGAGTTTGTTTTTTTAAACGAATTTAAAAATTTGTTCAAATTAAATTCATTTAAAACACGAATCAAACTAGAACCGAGTTTAATCCGAATCAAACTCAAATTACTTATCTCGAATAACAACCCTATACTGAACCAAGCTTTGCCAGCTAAATAAATCATATCTTGTTTTGTCCTCCTCCAAAATTTATGTCCCCAGTACAGGACCACCAGCCGTGGCCCATGGTTTCGCAGACATAATGGCCCAGCTACATTAAATGACGTGGTTATGAAAAGTCCCCTGTGGGCCCAATGACATTAAAATAACAGATTGGTACCAAAACCACCCCATGACTAATGTTTACATAAATAATAAAATCATTTACATAAATAAGAAATACATGAATTACCATTAGACAAAATTTAACCATTTAACTAGTATTTAAGAATTAAATATAAAATAATTTTTATTTCTTGATATATAACGTTACATGAATTATTTCAAAATTAAGTGATTATTTATTAGTACAAATGTGACATCAAATTGAAATTTAAAAAAAAAATAAAAAAAATTGCATGTAACATGATACAACATTATAAAATATGACTCAATTGATAATGCTAACTAACAATGATATTACCAGGAGGCATGATATGTCAAAAGTGTCACCAAAATTGATAGACGTCAACTATTAAATGAAACATTATCGTTTAGTCAGTGACGTTTAATTATAGATATATTCTTGTGAATTATACACGTTAACGTATCAATTAAGTCAAGATAACGAAGGAACAGTAGCTGACAAATGGCAAACCACAAACATTTGCTTTGAGTTTTTTTTTGTTTTGCTTTCTAAAAGTTATTTTTTTAATACAAAAATAAAAATAAAATTTCCACACAAAATTGTTAGTGGCGGGACTCTAGGTAGCTGTACAACACCTGGTCTAACATATGGAATAATGAAGTCGTTGTGATGTTCAAAAGGCGTCGAAGAGGTAAGTCGAGGTATGGTGGCCCAGAAGAGCCGAGTACGACAGCTGACATCATATTTAATGCGATGCAACCCCTCATTTATGACGGAATGAGTGATGGTGACAAAGCTAATAAATGTGCGCCTGCGACCACCTGCACTCTAGGAGTCTAGGCCTTCTATCATGATGGCTAAGGCATTAATGACTGATATGCCGAGAAGATACGATCGGCTCTCCCCGTGAAATTGTTCTCCCGAGTATTTAATGTTTAGTTGCTGTCAGATGTCGATCTGAGGGATGTGGATACTCGGAGAAGGGCATAAACGCCGAGCACTTGTCCCATCATCCTGGCATTTAGTAGGAGGAGACGTGAGTGGAGAATACTCATTGTGCGAGGAGTGGCATGTCAGACATTAAATGTCCAGATGGGACTGGAGGTCTTTGACAATCATTGCTAATTCAGGTATAAATACTCTTCAAAAAAATAAACAAAGGTACACAAAATTGAACCAGGAAAAGATGATTCGTTGAGTTTGAACCTCGAATCTTAATACTGACTTAACCTTCGGAGAGGATAAGTCGGGTGTTCACCTGACCCTCTTTTTCTGACTCTATGGTTGTTTCAAGTTCATTAAGTTGGAGATCGCTATCTCAAACTATTACAGGAATTATCCAGTGCAATTTGACGCTATCTGTGGGAACTCGAGTATCTTTTCCCGTGGCGATCGTCCAATGGTGAACACTCAATCTCAGGGTGAAGGAGTAAGTGTGCGTTTAAGGAACGTAGAGGCTATCCGACTTCCAATGGTCTTAGAAACTGGTCCCTTGACCCAGTTAGGAGGAGGGGAACATTCCTCACAACGAACGTTCCCCGTAGATCAAGGCCCCGGGGGGCATGACCTCTTGGCTCGTGATATCGTCGAGATAATGGAAAAGCGGATGGACAAACGGATTAAGAAACTTGAAAGGAAAAATGCTAAGATCCAGTGACGGCTTGATGATTTTGAGTAGTCAACAAATACAAGTAGGCGGGGGTCGTGGACATGAGGACCGGGACCTCAGTCAAAGCCCCTCAAGGTATCCTAGGTAGAAGGCCTCCAAGAAAGCCTAGCTTAGGCAGTCCCTCGAGGAGCACGATCATTAGACTGGATGGTCGATCCCCAAGGGGAGATTGGAGTCGGGCCAAGGAGTGAGCCTCTCCCAGTGGGACCTCCGCCGTGGGATACCTGAGGACATCAGGGCCGCAGAGCCACAAGTAGAGTCCACACCCAGGGGGCCTAGAGAAGAGAGGCTCCAAGGGAGCCCCCAGAAGCGCTTCACCGCACACCGCAAGCGTAAACCCGATGGTAATGCCGACAAAGTTATTTCACCATTCATTCGGGCTATTAGGGAGGTCGAGATATCAAAGAAGTTTACCGTTCCTCAGTTCAAGATCTATGATGGGAGGACCGATCCCGAGAGTCACTTAAGGCAGTATAAACAGTTGATGTCCATCTACGACACCGATCAATGGGTGTTGTGTCGGGTTTTCTCCCACGAGCCTAGGGGACACGGGCATGCGATGGTACGAGAACTTAGCTCCTAAAAGCGTCAGATCCCAGAGACAATTGACAATGCTCTTCATAGTTTGA